TTTTTTTTTTTTTTTGAAGAAAAATTCAAGAAAAATGTGGAGAATTTTTCTTGACCAACAGCTGATACACTGACATTGTTTCATGGGAATTGGCCTTGGAAACGGGAGCAGTGGACGGGGTAGGGATGGACGGAATTTGACAGTCAATAATATTCCCCATTCCGACTCGCTCGTGTCAACAAACTCCACAGAGGTAACTGAACTGTCGAAATTTTTCCAACTCACAAAAAAAGCTCGAATATCCGCTGAATTCCGCTCATGACTCCGAATTGGGAAATCAAGTTCTCTTTGTTCCGTTGAGAATTCCTTTGTCGTTAACTATTTTCGTATGTAATCGAGGATTATTTTTCGGAGATGGGCGCCGGAAAGAGTCAATTCACCGAGGAAGAGCTGCAAGATTACCAGGTAATTAGTGATATTTATGATGTGAGAAGAAAATATTTTCTATCCCAAAATGCTTCGGACGTAAAAAATTCATTCTTGAAATGCTCGATCCATCAGTAAAACTCGAAAAATTATTCTGCCTTTCGGGAATAATTTTCCCGCGAAGTAGTTCATATTTAATAGTATCCTCGAGGATTGACGAATGGAAAAATGAAAAAGGCTTATTGTTCGCTCGTATTGACTTCGATGTATTTATGCGTCTGCCTGATATGAATCATAAGGGAAATGAATCGATTTCTCGGTGCCTTAAAATAACATGGGCGTACGTCTGCTGTAATTTAGTGCAGGGGAAAATATAAATTCATTCTTGGTCTCTTTTTTTCAGGACTTGACGTATTTTACGAAAAAGGAAGTTCTGTAGTGAGTATTACACGGTAATAATTTCAGGTCCTATTGTCATAATGAAAATGTATCATGTAAAATTTTTCTGCACAAAAAAATTCCAGAAGCGAATTCTAGAAGCGTTTCTCACTCGAAAAAAATGGTCAACGTCATTTCAAATTGATTTTATCACAAAGTGATCTCCTCGTAATTTCTAGGGAATTTTCAAATTTCGCATTTCTTAAACCTACTTTTTTTCTCTGTGAGAGAAAGAAATCGATTTATTCAATTACGTTTCACCAATTCATTTTTAAAATTTTCACCAATAAATTCTTAAAATTTTCAGTGCCCATCAAAAATTCAAAGCATTAGCCCCTGAGAAAGTAGGGCACAACAGAAATGCAAAACTGCCGATGTCGAAAATACTTCAGTATCCAGAGCTCAGAGTCAATCCATTTGGAGACAGAATTTGTAAGGTCTTCAGTTCGAGTCAGGATGGCGACTGCACGTTTGAAGATTTCTTGGATATGACGTCTGTCTTCAGTGATGCAGCACCAAAAGCAGTCAAAGCTGAACATGCTTTCAGAATATTTGGTAAGGGGAATGAATTTTTCATGATACAACTATTTAGTCTGATTTTCTTCTAGCTTTCCTGTCCACAAATTGAAGGAATTCAATTCTAAAACGTTTTTTTAATTGACATTTGAATTGATACGACTTCCTATCAGATTTCGATGGCGATGATATGCTGGGTGTCGGCGATCTCCGTCAAGTTATTGATCGTTTAACTGCACCACAAAGACTGAGTGAGAGTGATATGCAACGCCTGCTCCAATATCTTCTGGAAGAAGCCGATCTCGATGATGATGGTGCTCTCAGTTTTGCTGAATTCGAGCACATCATTGAGAAAAGCAGCGATTTTTCGAAGTAAGTGTGACAACAAATATAATTATATTAATTGTTTAATGCCATTGACAATGAGGAAACGTTTTCAATAAAAATTGCCACTTTTCAATTAAAAAATGAAATTTCTACGGATCTAGCCGGAAGCTCATTGCCAATGAAATTGGTAAAAATGAAAAATGAGAAAAACAAATAACGCATCGTTTTCATTAGTATAAGATTAATGTTATGCTTAATTATTCTGTTTTTGCACTTTCAGAACATTTCGAATTCGTTTATGAGATTCACAATAATTAGAGTTCCCGAGGAATTCTAAAGCTTAATTAAAAGCTAAATTAAAAATGAATCTCCATGACTCGAAAAGAAGAAGATTGAAAAGGAATAATCGCCTGAAGATGAAGGGAAAACTTGCGCACTTGGGGCCTAATGCATCATACGTACTGGAGACAATTACAGGGGCAAATTGTAAATCGAGGGCCTATATCTCACAACTCTCAACAATTTAAAACAAAATACTCTCCAATTGAGCGATGCCACCAATTGTGAACTATGCACATCTTGCATTTATTATTTTCTAAGAAGATCTGAGTATTTATGAAACTAGTAGTAGAACTTGGAATACTTTCTTTGAATTCCCACAAGAACTGAATGAGCGGAACAATACATTTTCACAGATAGTCGAGAAATCTCATATTCATGTTCACGTGAGAGAATTTTGAATGAGTCATCATTATACTAATTTTTCCAATATCTCCCGAAAAAGACTCGATTTGAAAATTCACGAAAACTGCCGACGATAATACTAAACCAAGTAAATAACCACTAAAAAATAGTAAAGAAGAGTAGAAAGCACTCAAAATTGTACATAAAGATTTCGATATCGAAGCAAAAATGGTTGCGATGTACTGGATCTCCCGATGATGTGGGAAAAATAAATTTAATATAAATCTGATTAGTTTTTTTGCAACTGTTAATGTGGAAAAAAAGCAGAAATATCTAGAGAGTGATCAGTTTGTAAAGAATGCCATTATTTGAATTATTTCAGAGTCCCAATTATTTAGCAGTGAAATTTCGAAAGTCGAATGTTAAGAATCAAATATTATACGTTAAAGATGAAAAGTTGAGAGTCAAAGCCTCACTTGACGTGGGTTTTAAAAATTAATTCTTGACTCTCATCATATTTTTCATTTTATTTGATTAGTCAAGGACCCCCCGTGCATTACCCAGGCCATAATACAGTAGCGAAGCGGTAAACCGGGTCAAGTCGATTTTGACTTTTGGCCAGTTTTTTATTAATATCTCGGAATCTAAGAGAGATAGCAAAAGTTTTCTCATAACCTTTTTTATAACCCTCAATTGGCTCTACAAAAACGGTTATGACACAAATTTCTCCATCTCTTTTAGATTCCGAGATATTCGTCAAAAACTGGCCAATAGTCAGAATCGACTTAACCCGGTTTACCGCTTCGCTACTGAATAGTAGATTATTTGGAATAAAATTGAAAAAAAATTCAGGCACAACCTCAAGTACTGTATTTACACGATTTTATTATCGAAGTGTTGATGATTAAATTTCCGACATAATTATGCCTACGATTAATGAATTATGTTATGTGGAGGTAACTAATCCAACGACTGTATGGAATAATGTGATTTGAAATATAAGAAGTATAGCATATGAGTATGAAATTCTTAATAAAATAGTAGAGAATTGAAATGGTGTTTGAATTGCCTTTGTGCTTTATCATCCCGCCCATTGCGGTATGGAATCCCTGGCAGCGTCGACCGACGATCGCAAATTACTGAAGACAATGTTAATTGTCTTCAAGCTTACCACTAGAAGTAGCCACTGCGAACGTAACAGAATTCAAAATTAGTAATGATGGAAAAAATTCAGACAAATAAATTAAAGTGAAATTCAAAAATCTTTTGCTTCCGAATGGCTTTGCAATCATTCAAATTTGAGTTTTGGATTTTTTGTGGTATATCGACCCAGTATGATCCAAACAAAGTCTTTCTTCAACTGTTGGTTAATGAATGAATGGTAGGGGAGGTTGGGGTAAAACGGACACTTTTGACTTTTTTTCAAATGTTAATGAGGGGTTGAAATGTTGATGAAATTTAATGATTTTTTTTCAATACAAAGAACAATTCTTTCCCTTTGTGACGAGCCTGAACTGAGCTCAATTGATAAATTTGTTTCTGAGTTATGAATAATTTTAAAAAAGTCTAGTATCCATTTTACCCCACCCGCCCCTATGTTTGTGGGGGGTATTTTTAAATTACTCACGGTAGCTTCATGCGCATGAAGATCCAGCAGGTGATGAAGGAGACAGTGATGCAGATGAATCCAACAGAAATCAACAGAATTCTGTTGAGTTTTGGAGTAGATGGTGAATGGGTTTGATCCAGGATTATGAAACCAAGACCACCCAGCGTGAAGAGAAAACTTGAAGCCAGACCTTCCATTATGTACTGACCGTTGACTCGATAAGGCATGAATGCCACCTGAAAGGACAAAAATTTCAAGTGTATTGTTAATATTTCTCAGCCACCACAACATCTGTGAATAGCCCACATAGTCTCATGTCTATAACGAGAAATATGTATGCAAATTGAACTGCAATTATTCATAAATGCTTAAATTAAAAAAAACAACTGTTCTTCTCGAATAATTGATTCTTCATCATCAAGTTTTTAGTGTAGAGAATGATTTGTTTACCGGTCTGGTGTGTCCATGTTCATCAGTTGTTGATCCGACACTCGGTGGCTCCACAATCACATCATAGATGATTCCTAATAAAATTCAAGTCATTGCATGATCTTATGTTCAACCGAAGGAATATATTATAATAGATATTATATTATTTATTATATTATTATATATTATTATATTGTAATATATTAATATATTACAAATATATAATTATATATGCAAATTGAACTGTAATTATTCATAAATGCTTAAATTAAAAAAAACGACTGTTCTTCTGGAATAATTGATTCGACATATATTAATATATTATATTAATATATTAATATATTACAATATAATATATAATATATAATATAATAATGGTATCTTTTTCAATACTATCATAATGATTTTTTTATGGATGAGAGATGAAAATTTTTCTAGTTTTACAATTATTAAAACATACAGATGTAGATAATAATAAAAACAAGTCGTGTACGTGGAACTAACCTCCAGTGACCATAAAATACGACAACAATATGATGGAAAATACGACCATGGCACTGGGTTTCACGAACCATGATGGTTTTTTCAGTTTCAAGTTTGGAACCTCGAGTACCAGAAAGGGAGCCCGGTAAATAAGATCCATAATTCTTGGAATTATTGTCTTTTATAAACAAAACCCTCACGGTACCGGTGTTGGGGCGGGGGAGGGGGTGACACATTCCGCTTTGAACACGTTCTAGGGAAAATGGCGACAGTACGGGACCGGGAGGCGCACGGAAATTATTTGCGGTCACATTACCGGATAGGGAGATTCTGATGGGGTGGTTAAACAGGGCTCGATACTGCAGATGTCCTATGAAAAAGTCTTACCAATCGAATTTTACACAAAAAAAATTTTTTTCAGCACGGTGTGCGAAAAAATAACTTTTCCACACATTGTGATGAAAAATATCGTTCGATACTCGAGGGAAAAGTGTCTTTTGACTCGTGGGAGTGATATAATCCCACGAGCCAAAAACACTTTTCCGCACTCGTAACGAAATATACTATTTCATCATGCTGTGACGAAAAGTGAATTTCCGACACATTGTGATGAAAAATATTGTTCGTAACTCATGAAAAAATGTTTTTTAGCTCGTGGGATTATATCACTCGCCTTCGGCTCGTGAACCTCCCACTCGCCAAAAAACACTTTTTTGCACTCGTTACGAAATATACTATTTTGACCATGAAATATCCTATTTTACTAAAGATGAAAGAAACGTGAAGTTGTTTTATATCGAAATATCTCGAAACTGCCTGACCGCTAATCCTTAATTCTGATTGGTCAATATGTGACACGAAGTTATTCACAAAAAAAAACACGGCATTCTCAAATTCTGCAGTGACATAATTTCAAATTCTCCAGTGGTAAATTTTTTTTTCACGTCATATATATCATCGATGAAATAAATAAATTCTGTCCTTTTATGGAGACCGATTATTTAAAAAAATTGAAGATAATTAATTGAAAATGAAAAATTCTTTATAGATTCTTTTACACTACTTCGCTATTCACTTCAATCATTAGCCGAATTCTCTTTGATTCATTATCAATATTTATAAGGTATTCATGAGAAAATGAAATTCAATGAATTCCATTTCTTCATTTTAACAAATGAATAGATGAGCGCGCGCGAGAGCGCGCGCTTAGATCTTGTATATAAAAAAACTGAGAAATTCAGCATATTTAATGATCTGTGAGTTTATTCCGATAATTCAAGCCACGGGCTATTCATGAACAAAAAACAAACAAAAAATACAGGTACAGGATAAATAAAAAATTATTCTTCGGGTCAAATATTGAAAAATCGTGACTCCTACGATATAGTTGACCCCGAGGATAAATTTTACCCCTGGAATTCATTTGGATAACAGGGCTTGGTGCAAGCGGACCTAAATCTACAGTATGGTCTGTATCAAACTGTAAAATATTCTCGGATAGCCTCTTGAAATCGAATAAATCTCCTGAAATAAAATTGACTCATCACATAAGGTAGATTATTTATTATATCTTATGTACATTTAACATCATTTTGACAACACCATAGGAAAAAAATTTTTTGCTTCCTCAAATGTATCTCAAGACAATTTCTCAAGACTCAATAATAATTTTCTCACTCCCACTTCCACCCTCCATATCTATGCCTCTCTATATATTTTTGTTTCCTCGGCATTATCTCTATTTGCTTAGAATTTGTGACAATTTTATACAATAAAGAACTGGAGGGTCATCCATTCTCAATTCTTTCTCAAGTTCCAACTGAAAATGGAAGAATAGAAAATCGTCTGTCGGAAGTATATTACTCTCATTTGACTGTAGGTTTATGGGACGGTACCTGGTTTTCTTCGTCGCTCAGTTTTTCGTTATATTTCTCACTTTTTTCTTCAGCTATACATCGTTTTTCCACCGAATTACTTCGCCACATTTTCGTTATCGAAAGAAAGACAGATTTTTTTCTGTTATAAATGAAAAAATCCGAAGCAGGTACTTTAGCAAGAAATTTAGCTGCACGTCAGCTGTGGTTTGTAATTAAATTTCAGTGTCATTAATTGTAAAATTAATAGCAAATAATTTATTACAGAGATTTTTCCTCTCGGTTTTTACGAGTTTCAAAGCTCTCGAAAAACTTTCCAATTGTAGATAACACATGCCTCTGGAACAGTAATAATTTATTTATAAAAAAGGAAGAATGCGTTTTCAACGCCAGTTCATCCCTTTTTGACTGATTCAGTCCAATCACGAGCATCGAATAAATAGGTTTCCTCAATTTATGATTTTGAAATATTCTCCATCGGGCTTTTACTCACTTGTGTAATTTCCTAAAATAAATAATATTGAGGCATTGTTCTAATTATATAAAAATTAAGTAGAGAGCGCGGCATTGGATAATATTATTCTTCGCAGTCATACATTTTAGTCAACATTTTTTTTTATTTATAAATTTTGCTACTGACAATATGAAACAATTAGCTGCACAATGTTGCTAAAAACTGACTCTCTCCTTTAACGAATGCCATTCCTGGCTTCTTTCTTTTTTTATTTAAATGCCCAAAGGACTGGTGAAACACGAATGGTGGATTTTCAGTTTATGAATCATTTAGAAGAAAATTGAAAAATGTGGAGAGTTGAATATTGTTACGTTAGACTCTTCGTATATAGCTAATGATATTTGACTTTCAAATTTCTTCATTTTGTGTTTGACAGATGATTTCACCTTTTCATGGTTGGAAAATCCCACACTTTATATGTCACTCTGATATCTGATTCTTAAGAGGCCCCTGGGAGTAAAAAAACCACTGAAATGCGGGAAAACTCTGCACTATGAGCTCTGAGTCTCAAGGGGATTCAAACATTCCAAATGTCCAAGATCCTTTTTTGTCGATTTTTTAATCTGGAAATTTCCATTCGGTTTTGCGCGACGCAGAACTGCAAAAAATACAAATGTATGCTCAAAAAAAGTAAAAAAAATTGGAAAATTTGAAAGAGCGTTTTTCACTTTTATTGAGGAATAATGCAAAAAATGAGAAAATTGGAAATGTATTATTTACAGTGGCAAATGGCATCGTGTCAACCGCTGTCAGGGGGGGAGAAGGACGAACTCGTAAATTCTTTGATACAGTGCACATAAGCAACTGATTAAAAAAAGGCTCTTTCAAAAATTTTTTGATTACACTTTCACTACCGAATAATGACTATTCGCCGCGTAAAACTGTTATGAACATTGAGGTGCAAATCAGCCGACACTTTCATGGAAATTACTACTTGATTGTCAACTGTCACTTTAATTTAATTCTCCATAAAAGTGACAGCTGATTAGCACCTCATGTTTCATAACAGTTTTACGCCGCGAATGATCATTATTTCATAGTGAAAGTGCAATCAAAAAATTGTTTAAAATATTTTTAAAATTTTGAAAGAGCCTTTTCCGGATCAGTTGTCTATGGGCAGTCTACCAAAGGATTTAAGAGTTTATCCATTACCATTTACCATGGTAAATAATACATTTCTAATTTTCTCATTATTCGCAGTATTCCTCAATATAAAATAAAAACGCTCTTTCAAAATTTTTAATTTTTCAAAGCATTTGTTTAAGCGAATTGAGGGTGATCTGAAGACGATAAATAATTTTAATAATCTTAATATTCATTTTCAAACAAGATTTAATCAAGCACTCAACCACTTCGTATTCTCAAATATTTCTTAAAATTATTCATCTTCGTCAGATTCCCTTTGACAAAATTCATCCAGTTCCTACAAAATGAACGAATTTTTCTCCGCACTTCAGTAATTCATTACTTTCAAGACCTCTTCATATTTGACACTCTGAAAAAATTCAAGTCTCGATATCCGTACCACCACCCCTATCCTACCGGCTGTTTAATTAAAAAAAGAAAAAAATATCTTCACTGAGATAGACCTCCTCTCGCGAATATACACGACATTACTACTAGCATTGGATAAAAAATACAGGAATAGCTAATCAGTGATAAAAGTTAATAATAGGATCTCCTAATATTCTTAATGATTTATCCGATTTTTAAATCTTCGAAGCTGTGATGAATTTCATATTTACAATCATAATTCTCGTTGAAATACTCTCTATGGCTGAAGACTCTTCCCTTTTCACTTCCCTCTCCACCCGTTTCTCCAATCAAAACTGATAAATGATATAAAAAATTTTTCGTACGAACCTCCCGAAGGTAGCGCTAGTGATAAGTAATATCATCATTTGAAATCTTTTATTAAATTTATATAACATCTTTTCTATATAAAAATCTGCATTTCCATGTGTATTTTCCCCATATCGTCTCAATGCCGTTGCCTCCATCAATGACTATTCGTGTTCTCATATTTTCAATCTCCGGGTAATCCTTATTCTCTAATATTTATATTTAAAATCGCCAAAAATTTATAATTCAATCTTGAGTTTCACTTTCACATTGCAAACATCGTTCGAGGATTGACGCGAAAAAAACGAAAAGAGTAGTCTTAAAAGGAATTACAAATAATTCTGGAGACAGTCTTTTTTGAAAATTTCAAAGTCAATCCGATGTTGAGAGAACGTGAAAACCATTCAACGAAGAAAATAAATTGACTCAGTCCAATGGCCCGTCAATGGCCCAACAAAACTTGTGGGAAATACAGCAGCAATTTTTATCTCATTGCAAAAAATTGACAACAATCTCGGGCAGCGAGTGAAAAAACTAATTAGAGGATATCAGTCTCCAGCAATGGCGATTGGACTGCCCTCCTCACTTTTTCATATTAAATTATCTTCTTGATATGTCCTTCCAGAACAACATTCGCCTGACTACATTAATCCCTTAGATTTCCTCATCGTTCAACCATTAACAGAACATTTAAAAATCTCACAGGAATGTGGGGAAATTCCCTTAAATTGGCACAAACATATTTTCCCTTATGTCATTACAATTTCGTTCAATGGTTTTTTGTTGCCTCAAATCACCATTCACAAAGCCAGTTGAAATATCCCTCTCATTTAACAATTTCAAACGAAAGTGTTCATACTTACTCATTCACAATCAATAAAAAAATTAAAAAATGCGGCTTAATATCTAGGCCATTCGAAATCGCTCGTTGTTTAATGTAGGCTATACATGACAAGAATTCGCTGTATAAGACATTCGATAAGTGGAACTACAACGTGAAAAAATATTACAAGATAATATCGAGAGTTGATCAGTATTTTTACATTGAGTAATAACGAAACCGAGTATTCCTTCGGAGAATAGAAATTAATTAAAAATTCAGGCAGTGATTTTTCATTATTTTCGTGCTTCTTTTTTCCTCTCATAATAATCACTATTTCGTATGAAGCTATATGGATGAGAATACTGGTTCCTTGGAGTGTCTCAGACGTCCCAATTTGAATGGAATGTGTAGGATTCCTCGTTAAAAAATTCACTTAATGAAAGGATTTGAGTATTTATCTTTTTCGAGATCTATTTAAACGAGAAAACCCTGCGAAGTTGCTGACATTTGAGCTCTCAATGCTGTCACACTGTTCATTATTTTCTTCTGATGGCCAACGAGAGTGATACCGAGGGCTGTTAATTCTTGTACTGTTACTCTAGCCGCTGCCTCGAGTGTCGTTACACCAGCTCTCTCGAAACTTTGTGCATAACGTGACATTTTTATTGATTCTAGCCATTCACTGACCGATGTCAATTGTGTCAAATCCACTGCGTCTGGGGCAAGTGGATTGGTTCCCCTGTGAAATAGATGAAAAATTACGTGACAACTTGATGATTAATTTTTCATTATTACCTAAGGAATTTATTTACAATTCAGGGGTTTCTGTGGGATATCAACTAATTCGGTTTCACCCTTCTTATTTATATTATTTATTCATTCAACAGGGGTTTGTTGTGAGGAGGGCTATTTACACTATCGGGAGGAAATTCGGACATCAGTGTCTCGATTAACAATTCATTTGTAATTATTGTTACAAGGTACAACCTAGAGTTCAATGAATTATAAAAATGTAGAATGTCTGTGTCGAGGTATTAGTGGTAAAATTATCAGCAGTATGTGTTATTCTTATGTGTGGAGTGGATGGTAATTCAAATTAAAGGAGTTAAAAAGGTGTGCAGTATGAAGCAAGCAAGTGCTAATACAAACTAAAGAAAAAACAGAGGCTCGGGGGAGGTGTTCAAGCATTGCATTATCTCATCTACATTTATATTCTTGTTCTTTTTTTTTAAATTTTAAATACAATTTTCTATAATTGTTTTCTCTCTAGAAAAGAAGGAATAAAATGCTGAGCCGAACATTTGCGAATTTTTTTTGACCATTTTTCAGCATGAAATGCCTTAAATGATGCTAATATAATAATTTGCATTCAATTCCTTCTCTTCTGTTTTAAATCATCCGCATTCCTGTCATTCCGGGATTTCCCAATTTTTTTTTATGTACACCAGAGCTTTTTACATATTTTTTCGCTTTCGTTCGAGATGACAACTATAATATTTTTAGTTTTCTAATGTTCACTGACGATTTTATGGAACAATTGCTTGGAAAATTTCATTTCTTAGAGTTGGTTTTCTTTTATAATTTTTACCTTGTCTTGAAATGCACTGTGGATGCCGATGAGGCAGGCGGAGGTGGGGGTGGTGCACCCCGTTCTCTGATTCTGACAATCGTTAGTACATGTTTCGTTAGTTTTCTCAGAATAGTTCATTCGTATTCCATCCTCGTGTTTCTACTAATTATTCCATTTTCTTTTTTCGTCTCTTACACTTTTTTCCTCTCAAATTTTATGCCTTTCATGCATTGTTCAAGCTCCAAATGATTGTGGAAAATCAAAATGTTGGTGGTAAGTAGTGTGTGCGTGTGAATATATTATGTTTGTATTTATGACAAGATTTTGGTTTCTCAGGAATTTAGTGCAATTACATTTTATGAAAGATGATTATTTTCAATCATTTAGGTACACATTATTCCCTTCAAAGTGCAGTCATTACATTGAGAATGTTATTTTTCCTATGATGCCGTTAGAAATGCTTCCACTCGATCGTGTACGATCGTATCAAATTTCTATTTTAATTTTCACGTATAAAAATACTATTCTAAATTCACGAATAGTTCCGAGACTAACCAGACAAATTGCGCCTCAAAATGAATTGAATAAATAATATTTATATAGATAATATAATCCGTATATAACTAATGAATAATTTAATTCTCAAATTGATGCGACTCAACTTGAAAAACGTATACTACGAAAATCTACACGTCTTTTCATTACATTAATTTAATAATTCTCTACTTTCATTTAATTTGATTTGAATTTAAATATTCTTTCTAGCCACTGACACTTTATCTTAATAAACAGATATGAAATTTAGATTTTAGATTTTTTTTATTCCAGAATCCAACAATCAAACGTTTCGAGTATAAAAACGATTTCTACTCTATAACTATTCATCATTTATCGTAACTTTCATATCATTTCTTCAGTCTAATCATCTACACGTCGATTATTATCATCTAACAATCTACAGACTCTATTAGAAATTGTTCTTAACAAATAATAAATCGTTGATAAATTTATGTTAAACATTTAATACTTAAAATTCGACTTTTAAGAATCGGCCAGTGATGGCCGTAAGCCACTGTAGGAAATCTTGATGTACAAAAGATGATAAACTATTACTTTTTGAGTTGAATTTTTTTTTCCTTTGAGTTTGTGCCCCGTGTTATGCCACTATTCATCATTTGAAAAAATAGAAAATGAAAAACATTTTTTTGATTATACAATTATGACTATTTCATTGTTATTCGAGGTTTGAGCAGTGTTGTTTTTAAAATTCAGTCTGTCGAGGATGGGTGATGCAGATTCAATGCTTTTTATAGAATTTTTGTGTGCTTTTTTTCCTTTCTTTCAATGGTTTTGTCGAGAGTTGATTGAACATTGAATCAATTAAAATGGGTATTTGTTATCTAGCCAAAGTGGGTGAATGGCACCCAATTTGGGTATGTCAATGGAGGTTGATGTGGTAATGCGTGTGTTGCTGCATGTGTATGATAGTGGAGACTACGTCCTGCCCCCGCTGGCATTACTGGAACGGCAATCGATGCTTGTGGCTGATGGCCTGTTACGTCAATGAATTGTCCCGTACCAGTAACTGGTACCAATCCACCACTCATCGACTGGCTTGTCACATAGTAGGGATTATGTGCTGGTGGCCTCACGCTTTTTACGTATTTGTTTTTTTATCGAGTTTAATTTTGAGTTTTATTTTTGTTTTCGATGTCGTTGGATGAAGGCAGGTGGACGATTGATGGTCGCAATCGGTTGATTGTTGCAGGTTGAAGACGTACGGGTACCAAAGACACCACAAAACCAAAACCACAAACAATTAGCCCAGAAATAAAATTGGGGGATGTGAATTTTGTTGGGGAGGGGGGGGGAGCCCATCAATGGGACTACAGTCCAATCTCCCGACATTTTTTTTATTTGTTTTTTTTCTGACTCTTTGTAGAAGATAACGGGCCTTTTGTCAGTTCAATATAACGTGAGGTAAAGTGAGACCATTTGCAGACGTAAATTTGAGTGAAATCGTGAAAATGATCAATCAAATTTTTTTAATTCAACCTCCATATGATCCCTATGATCCTTATTCTGACCCTTGTGACCCTTAATCTGACCCTCGTAACCCTTATTTGGAACCTTAATCTGACCCTTGTGACCCTCATTTGGACCCTTAATCTGGCCCTGGTGACCCTCATTTGGATCCTCAATCTGACCCTCATTATAACCCTCGTGACCCTTATTTTGACCTTGGTTTTAACCCTCATGCCCTTTTTGGACCCTTACTCTGACCCTTGTGACCCTTAATCTGACACTCGTGGCCCTTATTTTGACCCTCATAACCCTTATATCTGACCCTTAATTTCGAGTACCAAATTTGTATCACTAGTCGATTTGGATTTTCATAATATAGAGCGATTTCAATCTGTCTTTCAACTTTGAAAAGGTCAATTTTGAATTTTCTATCTGACTCTTCAGACCCATAGGAGTGAATTTCACCCCCGCACCTTATACAAAAGAATCATATATTGAAATTGGACTGTATGAGAATTGGGAAGTGTTTCAATTTGGAGAGGAAAATCAAGAAGACTGAGATTTTAAAAAGTCTTTACGATAATTCAGTTGATGGAAACGTGGAATGGGAATTTGTAATGCTGGAGGAATTAATTTTAAACAAAAACATAAGCGCCAGAAGCGATAGAAGCAATTCTGCCGACAACAAAAAAAAATTAAGCTCCAAGAAATTCCCCTTTTCTTCTAAAATAAATAAGAAATGAAAAATCTCCGTCCATAAATTAATTTTGCGTCTCGTCATGTTCTTTCCAAAAATTTGGTTCTAGTGAATTTACCAAATGTGTGCAATTGTTATTCTGGAAAAAAAAGTGGAAATAATGATAGCGATGTTTTGTTGAAATAAAAAAAGAGAATTAACTGAGAAATTAAAAAAAAAACTGATAAAACTGAAGAAAAATGAAAACCATGAGTGCGAGAGATTCGTCCAGTTTTGTCCGCTTCCAGTAATGCCAATCAGGTTTGCGATATTATAGTTAATTCGAAGTGTGTCCTCAGCCTTCGATGAGAATCATTTACACTGATTTTTCTCAATTTTTATCATTAATTCGCCATTCTTCTGCTCAGACACACTCCTGAGAATACGTACATTAAATCAACCGTAATCAATCGAATTTTCCATGAGTCAATGTTAATTTTGGGCAACACGAAGATGATCTGACTGAGAACAATTAATTTATGGACACGCTTGATAATAATTTGTCATTTGCGCATGCGTCACGACTGTGATAATTGTTAGAGAATGATAATTATTTATAATTTTCTTTTCTCTATCGTTTCCTAGTAGTTTTAATTGACAAAATTTCAGTTGAAAACGTGTTTGCTTTTCTTTTTTGGTATGTAATATAATATTTTAATCTGGAATATATGAGTTTCTCATTTCAACGCTTTATCAATTACCCTAATTTGAATAAACGAATCCACAATAAATATCAGGATTTTTCGCAATTTATCGTCTCATAAGTTTGAAAGTGAAATGTGGAAAAAAGCGTAGGTGAATAAAAGGTCATGTTTTTACCTGTTTTGGGCGATTTTCCTGAGGGTATCAGGGCTCCTGATGAGTTTGTCGAGGGTTTGAGTTAAATTGGAAAAAGTTGGCCGATGCGTTCGCTCCTTCTGCCAACAATCCAGCATCAATTGATAGATGGCTTCAGGACAGTCCATTGGCGCTGGTAGCCTGTAGCCCTTTTCAATAGATTTTATCACATCTTGATTAGACCAGTTCCAGTACGGTCTCTCGCCGTACGACATCACTTCCCAACAGACAATTCCCATGCTCCACACGTCAGATGCGCTTGTAAATTTGCGGAAGGCTATTGCTTCGGGGGCGGTCCATCGCACCGGTATTTTTCCACCCTGTGGAGAACGAAAAAAAAAATTGAATTGAGACCCGGATGGATTATCTTTCGAATTAATTAATTTATCAAGGCCTGGGTGTACTATCTTTCGAACGGTATCTCGATGTTTTTTTTCATCTTTCGTCATCTGAAATTGTCAATTAAGTCCTGCATCGTGCAGAAGTTTTGAAAAATTATGAATGAATAATAAAAAAAAGTAGAAAAAATTCTTAATTTTTTCACAGAGCATTTTTAATTTATATTCAGAATAAGTTGAATAACGAGAAATTGAAAAATGTAGCTGATTTACGGTGACAAATGGCGGCCTGTCACCCAATATCATGCAGGGGGAAGACTGATTTCGTAAATCTTTTCCCACACTGCACAGAGACATTTATTACGGAAAAGGCTCTTTGAAAAAAGTTGTGATATTTTGGAGAATTTTTTAATCACACTTTTATCACGTAAAAATGGCAGATGACTACATACCACTGTTTTGAAAATTGAGATACCTAGCTGTCACTTCCCATGAGGAGTTAGTGTTTCGTTATCCACCATGGAAAATGACAGCTAATAGATAATTTGCCACAACGAATCAGATATTTGTAATTTCCACTTTTTTCAACTCGTTCTGAATCTCAATTAAAAACGCTCTTTGAAAAAGTTCAGAATTTTTTCTATTTTTTTTATCATTCTATCATAATTTTTGGGAATTTCTACACGATGTACCACTCAACTGACAATTTTGGATTATGAAAGATAAAAAAAATCCAGATAACATTCGAAAGATAGTACACCCGGGCCTTTATTTCACATTTTACCTATTCCGCAAGTAATTGGATGGATTCTTTTTTGTTAACAAAACAAAGTTGATATTCTTTTACCGTGTAACGGTCAAAGTGAACACAAGTCTGAATAATATTGAAAATTAAATTTTGCGTTTACTTAATAAAAACAACCAGAAGAAAAACAATTTTTAGTTTTTTTTTTTCGAGGTGCCTTGGCCAATGGACGACAACTCCCCACAAAAATTCGCCTCGAAAACGACTGATTTTCAGGGAATTATCATAAGACATCAGGGCAATATTTCTATAATTTTCGTCGTTCAGCTGTCCACATGTCACGAGGAAGGCGTGAATATGGAAATGAGAAAGAATTGAGCTTCATGCAAGTTCCCTATTCAACTATTGAAAAATCATCATCGAAATGCATTCTACTCACCCTTGTCGTGTAAGCTCCCTCAGTAGCGCTCTCAATTTCTCGACTCAGCCCAAAATCAGCAATTTTACACACCAATGCAGCATTGACCAGTACATTTCTCGCTGCCAAGTCGCGATGGACATAATTCATCTCCGCGAGATATTGCATACCACTGGCTATACCTCTGAGCATACCGACCAACTGGAGTACTTGAAATTTACCATCATTGGCACGCAAAAACGTATCGAGACTTCCATTCTCCATAAATTCCGTGATTATCATCACGGGATTACTCTTTGTTACGACACCTTGTAAAAATATCACATTTGGGTGTTCAAATTGACCCATTATCGATGCCTCTGTTAAGAAATCATTTCGAGCTTTGTCTGCTGAGCCTGGCTTCAATGTTTTTATTGCCACGTCTATCTCGGTTCTACCGTCAGGTGGAAGCTTCAATTTTCCCCTACACACGTCACCGAATTCACCACCTCCTGCAATTTGATTTTTTTTAAATTTAACTAGTGCTCAAGTGAGCAAAATTAGAATAAGTAGTTTTGTTAGGTTTTGATAAATGCAAATTTATGTTGATAAGCAGGGATTTTAAATGGTATTTCTGTAGTGAAGTGGTCGACCGGTTTAAAGTAGCTCTACCCTTCGGCCGGGCTACGCTGTACTTTGGATGTTTTCAGTTTTTTAATTTTTCAACTGAATTGCATGGAAAAAATTTGAAAAAATTCATACCCAGTCAGTATTATCTAAATTAAATTTCCCTCTTGTAAATAAATAATAAAACTTGTTTGCAAAACGGTGGATTATTTTTTATGAGGTGTCAAAAAAATTCTTGATTTTTTCACATCTAATGAATAAAAAATCAGATTTTAATCTTTGATTACAATGGAAATGTTGATTTTCACATAAGACACTGGGTTAAGGCCCGGGTGTACTATCTTTCGCGTGTTATCTGGATTTTTTTCATCTTTCGTAATCCAAAATTGTCAATTGAGTGATACATCATGTAGAAATTTCCAAAAATTATGATAGAAGGATAAAAAAAGAGAAAAAATTCTGAATTTTTTCAAAGAGCGTTTTTAATTGAGATTCAGAATGAGTTGAAAAAAGTGGAATTTACAAAAATCTGATTCGCTGTGGCAAATTATCTATTAGCTGTCATTTTCCATGGTGGATAACAAAACACTAACTCCTCATGGGAAGTGACAGCTAGGTATCTCAATATTCAAAACAGTGGTATATAGTCATCTGCCATTTTTACGTGATAAAAGTGTGATTAAAAAATTCTCCAAAATATTACAACATTTTTCAAAGAGCCTTTTCCGTAATAAATGTCTCTGTGCAGTGTGGGAAAAGATTTACGAAATCAGTCTTCCCCTGCATGATATTGGGTGACAGGCCGCCATTTGTCACCGTAAATCAGATACATTTTTCAATTTCTTGTTATTCAACTTATGCTGAATATAAATTAAAAATGCTCTTTGAAAAAATTAAGAATTTTTTCTACTTTCTTTTGATTACTCATTCATAATTTTTCAAAACTTCTGCACGATGCAGGACTTAATTGACAATTTCAGATGACGAAAGATGAAAAAAAACATCGAGACAACGTTCGAAAGACGGTACACCCGGGCCTTAATTAGTGATAAAAAAATCTATTGATTGAGAATATTTAACAGTGAAATGGAGGCTCAACTCACCAATGATGGCTTCTATCGTGATGTATCCAGCATCAATTTCTCTCGCAAATTCACGTACAGCTTGATTAGGATCCTCGTACGTGTGAGGATCAACGTAGCTTCGTGCACCGGCACCACCAGCACCACCAGCACCAGCTGATGTTACTCCCACTGCAGGCGTGAAGAGCGGTGTCGTCACTGTAACGTTAACAAAACGGAGTCATTATATTAACACTTGGGCCGGTGTTTTTTACAAACGGATTATTTTTGTATTAATCCTTTTCACTCACTCGGCAGTCATACATTCGCTGTGAATTAGCCAGTCTGATTATTTTACTCAAATGATGTTTAGAATTTTGAACATTCTCAAATCATCACTAAATTTCCTCACTCACACAATCCAATCGTTCATTCTCAAGTACACGAGTATCTTCATCAATTGAGGATGCAAATAGGAAAATCAAAACATGCAAATTTCCCTAACACAATGACATATGTATAAGGCATGAAAAATCATAACATTTATGGTAACCAATAATAATTATATTTATAACATCAAAAACTACATGATTAACGATTATTGTTAAAAGCTCAGTGGAAAAGCGGAGAAGCGAGTGTCAGTAACAGAAATTTATAAAATATTGATCGATTTAGTAATCAACTCGTAAAGTTGCTTCTGATTGCAATAAACTTTACTCATATTCATTGAAAAAATTTTTAATGTCATTTGATTCTGATAATTCTTTTTGGGAATTTGAGGACTTACGCGAGGACTTGCTCTTGTTGTTGGTATGGGTTGTCACAATCGGTGAACTGTCCATTTTGCAGTGCACTGTGAACAACACAACAACCAACAAACTGATTCACAAAAAACTCAGCAAATAAAAAAAGTAAAAAAATTATTGCAAAGTTTACAGAAAACAAAATGAATAAGCAGAGTTGTACGAAAATATTTGTATATATGTTGTTTTTTTCACTTTCTACAAGAAACGAGATACATGCACATTTCACATACAAAACGTTCCATACAACAGGCAATTATAACGTGCTTTTGAAAGTCTAGGTTTTTTCTTTTTCTGGTTTCTTGAGATAAGCGATGAATTTTTTAAAGTAGCTCTACCCCTCGGCCGGGCTACCCTGTACTTTTGGATATTTTCAGGTTTTAAATTTTTCAACGCAATTGCATGGAAAAAATTTGAAAAAATTCGTACCCAGTCAGAATTATCTAAATTAAATTTCGCAAAATATTGATATTTTTTCAAACATTTCCCTCTTATAAATAAATAAATAACAAAACTTGTTTGCAAAATGGATTATTTTTTATGAGGTGTCGAAATTTTTTTTTTGATTTTTTCACATCTAATGAAAAAAAATTCAGATTTTAATCTTTGATTACAATGAAAATGTTGATTTTCACATAAGACACTGGGTTAAATCCTGATTATTAAACATTTCTACTTTGAAAAACCAAAACGATAATTAGATTGAGAAAAAAATTAGAATTCCGAATCTAATCGAGTTTTCTGCAATTGTCTTGCAGTTTTCAATAATCTTTGAATTTACCGTAAGGGTAGAGCTACTTTAAATTGCAATGAAGTTAAATTTTCTGGGAAAATGTCTTCACCAAATTCTACGTTCATCGAATCGTCTCGCATAAGAAATCCATGAAGAAGAGAGTATCTATCGAATGGAAATCGGAAAATGCTCAATTAAACTTGAAACCAAAACAGAATTGAAAAAAATTTCAACCAAAAAAAAGGTAAAAAAAATGCCCAGGTGTTTCTCTTTGGAAAAAAAACTTACTGTAGGTCACAACTAGTCCTGAAGTAGTAGGCGGTTGTGTACATTCGATTTTGATTTTTTTTGTGATTTTTTATAGGTATTTTTGTGGTTTTTAGACACAGGTTGGAGATATTAGGGAAGAATCGCACATGAAAAGAAAGAATCGAAAGAATTTGGTTAGAAAATTATTTCACATTTAACGGGCCAAAATTTTTCTAATTTATGCTACTATAAAAATTGATGAAAATTTCATCTCAGAGGAAAAAAAATCATCGTTCTTCTGAGAAAAAAATTTCCTCAATATTTATCGAGGGAGAGGGGGGGGGGTGTAGAGGGTGGCACGAATACGTAAATTACAAATACATAGGGATAATTTGCGAATGATGGACGAAATTGTCTATGGGGTAACAACTCCAGGGATTCAATAATCGATTGATAAAAAAAAATTAAATGAAAAAATTAAGTTACATGACATTAGGTCTGCAGTAAGTGAATAACTATTAGAGCAATATGGGGGTACTTGTAGTATGAGTCAAGTGAATAGGACCGTCAAATATCTAAGGGGTTGAATGATATCAATCTTAGTTTAAATATTATTCTAGTGTCTGGGGGCTTTAATGATAACGTACCTTCACCGTTTCGATACTCCAAAGTGTCGCAGTCACTGGGCTGTTTCTTGTTGCACTCGTCAGAGGCCCTGCTGTGCATTGAAATAATACATTTGTTACTAATTTTGTCGATACGCTGTCATTATTAGGTATTACACCTACACCCTTTTCGCCTAAATTCACGGTTTTTTAATTTTTCTGGTAAATTGTTGATCGGAGTGACGTGAAAAAATAATCCGTTTTTGCATTTTATCATTACTTAATGACTCACAAAATTTCATGATCGTGCAATTATTTTCCTGCGTTTTTTCTCAAATTTTCGGAAATTCACAAAACTTTAGAAAAAATGCAGGAAAATGATTGCAATACCATGAAACTTCGTGAGTCAGTCAATAATGATAAAACGCAAAAACGGTGTATTATTTTGCGTCAATCTGATCAATAATTTACCAGAAAAATTAAAAAAACGTGAATTTTGGCCGAAAGGGTGTATATGAATATTCTTGAATTCTTGAAATATTCTTGAGATATTTAAAATATATTCTCAATTTTTTCAGACACATTTTTCGGCTATATTACACGATTAGTGCAATTTTCTACTAAAAAAAACACGAAAGTCGCTGCGAGGAAGTCGAATTCCAAAAAAATAGTTCGTAAGGGCCAAATTTTTATAATATTACAAAAATTTAATATTGATGGCGATGCCTGCTCCCATAAGTTGAACTTGTAATTTTGACTGCAAATGATTGGACACAATCCCGTTGACATTCGATTCTAATAGATTCTTTACTTACCTTCTGAGAAAGAGCACGGTCATGATAATAATTATCACCAGCAGCACGACAACGGCGACAATGGCACCAGCAATAATTCGTACTTGCATATTGTCATCGTCCCCAACATAATCTATTTCAAAGTAATGGAAAATGAAACGTTATTAAATGGCCAGTTGCTTCCGGTATTCTTATCGTCATTGATAATCGTGGATTCATTATTTCTTGTTATGAAACTTACCTAGTCCCATGGCATGGGCAGTCTTCTTGTAAATCACCGGTGTATATTCTCCCCATCCGCGTGTAGTTTTAGCACGCACTTGAATAGCATAATCAGTACCGGGTTTTAATCCCTTAAATGTCGCTGATAAATCATGAGTTTGGAGAACTGTTGCATTTGTTGCATCGTCGTATCTCGGGTATCCCCTTACTGCATGCAAATAACGTGAAATAAACGCATGAATATTGAATACTCAGCTTGAGATTAAGGGGAGGCTATCGGGAGTTTTAAAAGTCGCGGGCGATTGGAGTGAGATATAGATTATTCATAATGAATAATTAAGGCAAAGAAAATTATTGTTCATTATTAGTTTGCTCCACACACGCTTAAGGTATTAATAATAGTACATGGTCGCCAACTTGAGGTTTTTTTTTCAAAGCTGTTTTTTTAATTTTTGAAAATATGTGCACAATAACAATTAGGAATGAGTTTTTTTAAGTTTTACGTCTACGCAGCTAATTTCGTTTCGTTTAATTTAAAAATGAAATATTTAAAATATATTCTCATTTTTTTCAGATACATTTTTGGGCTATTTTACATGGATAATGCAATGTTTTATTTAAAAAATAAGAAAGTAGTTGCGTAGGAGTCGAATTTCAAAAAACTACTTTGTAATTGTTATTGCACACATTTTTTTAAAAATTTGGAAAAAAAATCTCTTTACCAATTACTAATCACCCATTTTCAAAAAATAATTCCCTCAATTATCAATATTTTTCAATTTTTTGTTCAAAATTTTTGTCTACCATCATCTTTTCAGAAAAAAATTGAGACGAAAGTCCCCAGCATCGACTTTTTTAGCCTGCTGATTTGGCGTGGACCTACTCTTATAGAAAAAAAAGTTGATAGTTTTCTTGAAAAATCTAGGAAGCAAAAAATTGTGGAAATATCCGTAGGTTTTCACTTATTTTGAGGAACTTTTCGCCAAGTTCACATAATTTAATGTAATTTTACGTAATTTAAGGAAATGTTGATTCTAGAATTCAGAAGTTTTAGGTTTTCAAACTAAGAACAATCTCGTTCTGGAACTGATGATTTTTCCTGTCCCACAATTGATTAACTCAATCAATATTGAATCAAAGTTCAATCATTTCGCAAAAAAAAACTTCTGTAGCTCAAAAATTCGAGGCCCTGGACTTATTTTAGGCGTCTGCGGGACAGACAAACAATAAACAATTAATTGTTTCGCCCTAATTATTCGTTTTTAGACATATAATCGATCTTCAATGTGTAATTTCATTGCAATAGCCTGCGACATTTAAAACTCATAGCAGTCTCCCCTTAATTAATTATGTATCATTCCTGATGTGAAATGCTTTTACCTTCATATCTCTCCACCAAATCACTGTCTCCAGTAACTTCGGTAACTGGTGCATCCCAACTTATACTCAATTCAGTGCCTTTGACATTTGTAATTCTCACATTGCTCACGAGACTCGGGACACTAGCCTCGGTAGTGACCGTAATATCCACATATTCGGAGCGACCAGACAGTGGTGAAACACCATTTTCAGCGAACACTTGGAAACGATATGTCGTCACTGCATTCAACCCAGTTATCGTGATCTTTGTGTCATTGAAAATTTCCTGATTTGGGGATGAGAAAATGCTGTTAATGTCACTTCTAATGGCCGTGAGAATTCGCGTATGAAGGAATTAGATGATAAATTCCAGGGAAGACTAAACACATGAATATGTGGGGTTCGTTGAAAATATCCACTCTTGAATTTTTCTGAATCTCAAATATTACGGCAGAACTTTTCAGTATTTTTTTCGAATTTATTCTGACCCTTGTGACCCTCGTTATACCCCTTGTGGCCCTTATTTTGACCCTTCATTTTTGACTCTTAATTTTGGAGTCTTAATTTCAAGCACCAAGTTTTCATCACCAAAAGTCGTTTTGGATTTTTACCATATAGAGAGATATTGACCCTTCTTTGGCCCTTGCGGCCCTTATTCTGTCCCTTTCGGCCCTTATTCTGACCCTTGCGACCCTTATTTTGACCCTTAAAGCCCTTATTCCGACCCTTAAAGCCCTTATTCTGCCCTCGTAATCCTTATTCTGACCCTTGAAGCCCTTATTCTGCCCTCGTGATCCTTATTATGACCCTTAAAGCCCTTATTCTGACCCTTAAAGTCCTTATTCTGCCCTCGTGATCATTATTCTGACCCTTGGGGCCCTTATTCTGACCCTTGAGGCCCTTATTCTGACCCTTGTGACCCTTATTCTGACCCTCACGACCCTTAATTTCGAGTACCAAATTTTTATCACCAAAGTCGATTTGGATTTTTATAATACAGAGAGAAACTGAGAAACAGACATATTCGTCGTCGTCGCAGTTGGCCCTTAACATTGGCCAATTTTTTCTCGGATTTCTTGGGGTTCAAACTTCTCATGCACCATACGTGGCTAATTGCTCATTACTGTGCTCTCGGTGAATGCAATAATACTCACGGTGTTGGGAATATACTTGACGCCTGTACTGCAGGCATCACACACGACTCTGTACGTTGTATCCGACCTTCCACCGAGAATATGTGGTGCATTCCACGATAGAATCACCGTTGACTGATCCACAAAGTTGACAGTCAAATTTTGCGGGGCTGATGGTGGTTCTAATTTCACAGGATGCATTTCATTAAAAAATTTGTCGATGTTTACAACCATCACGCACGAAAAAATTTGCGAATTCGATGGAATTCTATTAGTTTTCGGCCAATTCCAGCGAAAAATTCCACAGATTTACTGCGCGATGTTTTGCGAAAAATATCCAATAGAAACGATTCCATAAAAAGACGGTTAAATCGGCTAAATGCACTGAGAGAAATATCGTCATAATATCATAAAACAATTTCTTGCGCCAAATACCTCATCTCTTGAGGATAATTTCTTGGGATAAGAATTCCGGATAATGTGTCAGACAATGTCCGATTTCGGTGAAGTTGATAACACATTTCATGATAAAGTGAGAATTTCTTGCCACAAGAAATCGGTTTTTTCGTCTCAGAAGATGAGAAAATGACTAAAAATATTAGAAGCTTCGATTCAGTGAATCATGAATCAGAGACTTTCATATCGAATGAATAGTTTATGCAGAGGAAAACCTCCAGATATTAAAAAAATATAACCGTCGCTTAAGCTCAATCGCCTTGAGTTCGAAGGGAAGCAATATCTTCTTTTCCTTCTGTCAACCTATTCTTGCCTCTTAAGGAATATTATCTCATTTCGAAAAAAGACATCACCTTTTCATTCAGTAACTTCCTCCTTAGCCCGAAGAGCACCGATTTCTTGTCTGCAACCTACCATAAATCGATCAAATATGTATGCCACGTTCTTCGCTCAAGAAATGATTTTTGCAATATTACGTTGATTTTTCTCTGAGTCTACAAGGCTTCCACCGGAAGCAAAAAAACGCACAGCTAAGCTGCAGCACTTTTCAACAGAATTCCCCAAAAAATTCGCCAGATTTTTCTATTTAATTTTTCCGTACGTGATATTTTTTAGAATCAACATTAGAATGAAGAACATACGTGTACAGGGCATGCTCTTAGGATCCTTTGACGCCCTGAAATACCCAACATCACAGCGGCATTCAACAAATCCATAATCGGTCGCTGTACTGTGAGCCGGGCACTTCTCACAAGTCTCAGAGCCAGCTTCATGTTTGTATTTGCCAATTGGACACTCAATGCACTGCTGCTTCTCAACATCAGCCTGATAACCTGGTTTACAGTGGCAACCACCGGAGGGAAGAGACCACTTGCCATCGCCTTTACACAAAAAGGTTGGCTGATCAATTTTCTCCGCATTTTCAACGCAAGTGCCAATTGTTTGCTCAATAAGTGTAACTTCACGGCCGGTTGGCGTTGCTGCGAAATGGGCAAAGTTCACTGATACCTCAGGGCAACTGATGTAATATACTTTGATGGCTAGTATCGATATACAAGCACCCTGATCTCTGAATGCAAAGTATACTCCTTTTTTCGTTACGGGTATTGATTTTACTTCTGAGTTTATTACGACTTCTGCATTTGTGTTGAATCGACCTTCGCCGGCTGCGATTCGACCTGGAGAGGCAAATTTAATTATGGGATTTATTCGGAGTTATAGGTGAGATAGCATGCTTTTCTATGAGCTGATTCACGTAAATTCAGCGGGACAAAAAAGTCGAGGCTGGGAATTTACGACTCGATTTTTTTCTGAAAAGATGGTGATTGGATAAAAATTTTGAACGAAGAATAATTTAAAAATGTGGATAATTAAGGGGGTTATGATTTTTTGAAAAATGCTAGTTTTTTTGAGGGGTTTTTCATCCCCCATTTTCAAAAAATCATAATTCCCTCAATTATCAATATTTTTCTATTTTCCTTTTTTCAAAATTTTTGTCTAAGCACCTTCTTTTTAGAAAAAAATTAAGACGAAAATCCCCAGCATCGACGTTTTTGGCCTGCCGATTTGGCGTGGACCTACCCTTATAGAAAAAAAATTCACAGTTTTCTTGAAAAATCTAGAAGGCAAAAAATCGGGGAAATATCCGTAGATTTTCCCTTATTTTGAGGAACTTTTCGCCAAGTTCACATAATTTAATTTAATGTCATATAATTTAAGTAAATGTTGATTCTAGAATTCAGAAGTTTCAGGTTTTCAAACTAAGAACAATCTCGTTCTGGAACTGATGATTTTTTCGTCCCACGATTGATTAACTCAATCAATATTGAATTAAAGTTCAATCATTTCGCAGTTTTATTATTTAACCGAATGGTCCTTGATTCAAGATCTTTTCTCTTTTGAAATAAGTAGGTTTTTGGTACTGAAATCCAGGCGTTTTTCCCCCGAAAGTTTCCCAATCTCAATATAATGCCTTCTAGAACAATGAGTCTCTTAAAATCAGAAACTTCCTTTTGAAAACAAGCAACCCTTTTCCTTCGTTATTACAATTCCACAGCAGAACGAGTTGACACTTGGGATCTCGTTAACGAGAAATTGTCAAGAGAAACTTTTTGTCGAAAGCTGATTTACAAAAATCTCTGTCGTTTCGAATTCTCACCAATTAATTTGTAGCTTTCGGGCTCCCACGGCGGTGGTTCTTTCGTGGCAGCATCAAATTCGTAGTATAATAATGAGAATGTCTCCTTACAACTTAGTGCATTCCCCGGGAACAGCGAACAATCTCTTGTTGTGAACTTAATTTCAATGTACATACGATTGGCCGGTCCACGCTCGATGAACGGTGTCCACAGCCAATTGTTAACGTTGTTGTATGCAACATCACATACTACATAACTCCGCCAGTTGATACCTTTGTCGAAGTTGGTAAATGATTCTTCCACCCACTGTAACAAAAAGAGAATAAAAAAATTATTCATCATGTGAGTTATGGGTTGGTTGGTTGGAGAATAGAGTGACAAACGGTGGTTTTTTCTTTCGAATGAAAACATTACAATCTTTCAAATTTAAGTTTTGGATTTTTTGGGTTATATCGCCCCATTATCCACTTTCAAAAAATCCAGTGTAACGATTTTTGTCTATGTATACACTGAGAAAAATATCGCTATAATATCGCAAAACTAATTTCTTGCGCCAAATATATTATCTCTTGAGGATGAATTTCTTGGGATAAGAATTCCGGATAATGTGTCAGATAATGTCAGATTTCGGTGAAGTGTTCACGACCTGAACACGAAGATTTCATGATAAAGTGAGAATTTCTTGCCACAAGAAATTGGTTTTCATGGCGAATGGTCTGGACAGTGCAGTTGAATCAACTTATTTATCATTTTTCCTCTTCCTTGAAGTAGAGGGGCCAATACCAAATGACGTGGTCTACGTCTTGTGTCTCAGAGTCAGGGATTAAGCATTGAGAAGAAAGTTCTTTTCCGGAAATCATTGGATCCCTCGTCAACTTTGCGATATCATTTCTCCCTTCATATAAAAAACTCCACAAGAAACATTCCAACTGACATTTTTCTCCATCATCATGCGCGAAAATCTTCTAAGTAAGTTCGACAAGAGAAGTTATACGGAAGTTTAAGTATACAAGATACTCGAAACTTTTTGTTAGCGTTTGAGAGACGTCTTCCGCAACACGCGAAGAAGATTGTGAACCTCCCAGGGGCTCTATACGGGCATTGTGTATTTCCGGAGTTATGATTAAATTCCAGGGGTCTCTCATAATTCCCCGAGTCTTCAACATTAACTAATCGCCGTCTATTATAACCATTGCACGCCGCACTATTGATACTGCAACTTCCCCTGCGAGATTTATAGCTCTGACGCGGTATGAGCCATCCAGACATATTGATCTGTTTACGTCTAGTTCGGTGGGTCAGAATCCTGATTGTTCCGAATTTTTTTTAGGGATCGTGTGGATTTAGCCCTGAAGTAAAATACATGGGGCGCCACTGGATCTTCCGCCGGCATCCGAGGTTGAGGGGGAGCAGAATGGAACAACAGCAACAACACAATGTATCTTCACAATTCATTCTAGTTTGTCTCGGAACGTTGGAAGAAAAAACGATGAGAAAAGCAAACTGTAAAAATGAAATAAACACAGTTCACCAACTGCAGTTACTTATTTCCTCTGGGGAGTATAATGTCAACAACAGCAGTGGAAAGAACTGAATTTAAATCGTCTCTAAAAGCTACGGAGAAACGAGGCCGGCCAAATATGCGAAATTTTTCAGTAAAGATTCACATTTCATTACAAATATGAAAAATAGGAATTAATGTTAGACTTTTGTTAAGTCGATATTAAACCCTTATTGGCTCCATCTTCGATCCCATAAAATGTTTAATAATATATGATATTTTATAATATAATATAATATAATAGATTGATATTATATTATATAATATAATTATATTATCGTATAATATAATGACCGAAAAAAATCGACGATATGGGGTTTTATTTTTCAGTATATCTTGGTGAAAAGATCTAGAACAGGATTCGGCGGGAATCGCCGCCGTGATCTTAGGCTACAGCGTTGCCGAATTCACTCTCCACTGCCCGGGCGCGTTTAGCGAGTCTCCGGCAACGTCGCGTCGTAGGCAATTTCATTTGACATGAGAAAAAATAATTCATCTGTTGGAAATAATTTGTTTTCTTTAGGAATTTTGGGAAATATGTTGTTCTAAAAAATACTATAATTTTCTAGACACTTCAATTGAGAAAGTCAAATTTCTTTGAATTTTTCCGGTTAGGCAGTCAATTGTAATTAAATAAAAACGACGGGGGGCGGGGTTACCCTTATCGGATGACTAATCTAGGGTTCAAAGTCGCATGAAAGTGAAATCAAGATTTACTTTCTCGCATACTAGTTTTTCACGCATTTTTCATTATTTTTCGAGGCATCGGAAACAATCTGCGAATTTAGGGTGCGATAATCTCTTCCTTACAGCTAATTTTTTTTTCTCGATCGCAAGATCTGGGAAAATTTTGGAAAAATTCCCAGTGATGCAGCATGCTCAGACGCTTCTTCCCTGAATTTTTCAATTTTTTCTCATCATTTTGACTCTTCAGGTGGAACACCTTAAAAGACCTGTGGAAGTGAGCCAACAATCATCGACCATCTAAACGAACTTCCGCTTTTGATTCAGGGTCATGTATCTTCGTTCTAGAAAAACAAATTGTACAAGGAATATGGAAAAGTTCTGATGTATTTTCGGCCGCACATTCAGGGGATCATAAATTTCTTCTGAAGTCCCCCGGACGTATTCCTCGTGGATATGACGATTGAGTAGGGTCTCATTCTTCTCCCCCTGATATCTTCGAGATGTTGAGAGACTGAAATATATTTCATTAGGAATTACGTGGGACGAAGTGCCTAATAATTTTCTCTTTATGGCCTTTCAACGATCGCTAAGCAAACATCACCGGGCATATTTGATGATGTTTATTGAGTGACAATAAAGAGGCAGATGCGTATTCGGTTGTCGGCAGTGGTAACTGTTAAATTTCCCTGACATAATTAAAAACAAATACTGTCGTTTCAGGGTTAAAAGGACGCAACTGCCATTAACGTGGTGATTGTAAACTCATTCGTTATTAGCGATTTATTTCATAATCCATGTCTGATTTGGAATGAAAAGGGGGTAAATGATATTTACGCCTTCTTCATATTTCAATTTAGGTATAGTGTCTATTCACACGCTCCACGGTAACTTTGACCGTGACGTTTTTTCGTGGATTCTATCGTGGATATGTGGCAGATCGTGGACCCTCGACTTGTACTTCTCAAATTAAATCTAGACAATAAACTAGACACATCGAATCAATCGATAAGTGATAGGCAGATAGTTGACTAGTAAATAATTTTTCTCAAACTATTAATTCGTTGAATACGATTATCAGTCCAGATTAACGCAAATAAAAAATGAAATAAGTAGTTGACAAATCGTTCACTCAACGCAAATAAATGATGAAGTAAATATTTTTTTACATTTTATGTGAACGTTTTCTCAATAATATTCATATTTGTCTGATGGGGTCCGAGTGCTTTCCCAACCGGGGGAGCCTACTAGACCCCACTGGACAATGTTGTCACAACTCTGGTTTATTTAATTTGATATAATTTCTATTTTATTTGATATAAACAAATATCCCTGCAGTTGTTGTCAAACCGCGCATTTTCCTCTCTGAATATAAATTTTCAATTTTTCCATATGGGAATCAGAAGCAATCTTATACTTGCAACATTTCCACTGGGAAACCATCTGGATTCCCATCGATAACTGCACACATTACAGTTACCCCAACCATTGTTTCCAATAAACAATAAATTGAATGCTCCAATTCGCTTGGACTACTGAATTTGGTTTAATATCCAATTCGCAATGTCCCATTAATCACGCTCAAGATAATATTTTATGCCACAAAGTTTGTGTACCTGGCAGTTCCATAAATCGGATTTCCCCGAAGTTGAAATTCCCTTCATCAAAAGGACGGAATTTGAACGCACGAGAAAAATAGGACTCGACAGGAGTAATTTTTTCGTAATGATGTGTGTCACATACAAATTCTCGGTGTTTTTCCCCCGACAGTATTTCATATTTTCCCGATGTGTATCAATATATCAGTAGCGAAGTGGTAGAGCTGTTTAAGGAACTTCCGCAGTCAGTTTTGGGGCTATGGAGTGGGGGAAAATATCACAGGTTCCGACACTCCGCTGTATCCTTTGAAAAAAAAATGATGAAATGCCGAAAAGTTCACGGGTGTATTGAAAATTCATTGTTTAGGTTTCTTTACACTTATTATTCATGATTAATCTATTCCAAATGATTTTTATTTCAGTATATTATTTATCCGAATTTTTTAACAAAAAAAAATTTTCATGTGAGATTTGACAACCACGCATTTTTGTTCGACGCAGTTGGTACTCTTGTGTCCCGATAAAATCCTATACTGTACTATAGAATCTATAGTCCATGTTTTCGCTGAGTTCACACGATGGCCTCCGTTGCGCTCACTCTAACCTTCCTCGACGTTGCCATGTTCAGCCATTAGTTTACTCTAACGTAACTAAAATCCCAAACTATGCCATACATTTTCAATAATTACAAATCAGTAGCGAAGCGGTAAACCGGGTTAAGTCGATTTTGACTATTGGCCAGTTTTTGACGAATATCTGGGAATCTAAAAGAGATAGAAAAATTTTTGTCATGACCTTTTTTGTAGAGCCAACTGAGGGTTATAAAAAAGGTGATGAACAAAATTTTGCTATCTCTCTTAGATTCCGAGATATTTGTCAAAAAATGCCCAAAAGTCAAAATCGACTTAACCCGGTTTACCGCTTCGCTACTGAAATAATCCCTGTGGTGACGGCTAACGAAATTGTGGGGATATGTTCCTGAAATATATACGGTTCTATTCGTGAAGCGTTTGGATTTATATTCCATTGTCGATTATTTTTTTGAGATTTTTGAAAAAGTCGTGCCATAAGACTGTGTTAATGACACATTTTTCATATTTTTTCCTCAACAATCTACGTGGTTCAGCGTTTTGGAACTTCGGGAGGATATTTGTAATCACTCAAGGAATATATTCTCAAAATTTCAGCTCCGTAATCCATTTCCTTCGACTCCCATACACTTACTGCGGAAGTTCCTTAAGTCGACTCATCTCCCAGTTGAGTTTTCGAGGAATACTTCGGAATCTAACGGAGATAGCGAAATTTTCGTAACAACATTTGTTGTAGCTCTCAATCGGCTCTACAAAAAAGGTAATAACAAAAATTTTTCTATCTCCCTCAGATTCCGAGATATTCATTGAAAGCTGGTCAATAGTCAAAATTGACTTGTACCGTTTTACTACTTCGCTACTGATATGAACTGC